ACAGTGAAGATATCCCTACTGTTTGCTGCTTTTCATGAAGCACTTTCCTTGTGGCCAAGCACTGTTTGTCAGCTCTGCGTATTTTTGTTTACTTTTTTTTTTTTTAAGATTTTATTTATTTATCTGACAGAGAGAGACACAGTGAGAGCAGGAACACAAGCAGGGGGAGTAGGAGAGGGAGAAGCAGGCTTCCCGCGGAGCAGGGAGCCCGATGCGGGGCTCGATCCCAGGACCCTGGGATCATGACCTGAGCCGAAGGCAGACGCTTAACGACTGAGCCACCCAGGCGCCCCTTTACTTTTATTTTTATTTTATTAATGTGTATCTTACTTAACCTTGACAACCTTGAGAAAAGAAATTGAACTTTACAGTCAGTAAATAGCAACTCCTAAGCCAGGCCTCCTTTCACTACTGAAAGCTGCTTTCCAAAGGTGATACTTCATACTGCCTGAGAAACCAGAAGGGTGCTAGCCCAAGACCGTTCAACACACGAATGACAGTTGTGTGAACTTTTTCCTCCCTTCTGTGGGCTGGTCAGATTGGGTGTATCATTAAGCCCTAGCCCTCCAAGAGCCCTGCACATGGTCATCAAGGCCCAGCTCCCCCTGGCACAGCCGGCTAAATAGTATCAGTCCTCAAAAGCCTGATTTAACCAAGGTGGGGCATCTCCCTTTGCCCTCTCTATGGAGCATCCACTTCCCGCTTGACATCCTGTCTGCCCCTCGTCTATCCTGCGAGTTGTTGACCATCTGACCAGAACAAAAATGTGGAGGGGCTGGTGGAGGAGAGGCGTCTGAAGAGAGAGCTTTCTCTCCTGTGTTATCAACTCATCTTGCCACTTAGGCTCAGCAGCCCCACCCTTAGGCTTTGGTGGTGTGTGTTTGTTTGTTTTCAGGCATTGTAATGTAGGCTTCGGGCCATATTCTGAGGGTTCATTCTCTTATATTCTGATTTTATGCCTTTGAAGTTGGAGGCGGGTGGGGTTTTTTGCTCAAGGGAAGGCGTCAAGGCCTTCTGCTCTTCCCACGCAGTGCGCCGCCGAGCTCTACACCCAGAGCATGCCTTGGACAACCACAGTGACAGTGAAGAAGAGCTTGCTGCCTTCTGTCCTCAGGTATCTTGGGTGTGGGAAGTACACCACCGGCTAGTGTTCTTTTAGCAACCTTGAACCATATGGCAGCTCACATTTAGGCGGTAAGTAGGTTTTCAAGCTTATTACGGGCGCTCCAAGGCCCCACCCTCTCCTTGCCCCCAAGAGCAGTGAGGAGAGAAGCTAGCGTTATACTGGGACTGTGTGCGTAGATCTCAGTTTGAGCCTGGTGACCAGCACACCCTCTTCCATGTCTCCTTTTAACCCCTACTGTCATGGCAGAACTTCTGGAACTGGCGTGACCGTCTTTTAAACAGCCCAGCCCACCTTATGTTGGGCAATATGTCTTCCTGGCCACCTGTGAAAAGTAATCTCTGGATCAGTTATTTGCTTAAGAGTTAAGTGGCTGGTTGACTCCCCAGACCACTTTCCTTCTACTCAAGATTGATAAGTAAGGGTGTTTTCCTTGGGGGAGCAGCCTAAAAGGGATCAAGATATTGACTAAAGTCCCCAGTCTTGTCTGGCTGCACTGCTGGCCGTAGGCTAGCCTTTAGGGCCAGCTAATTAGTAGAGCTGTAACTGGGCAACTGCACCTGTTCCTAATGGCATCCTCTCTTCAGGCTTGTTGGTCTTTTCTTTCCTAAGCTGGATGATTCTACTGTTGCCAGGGAATTGGCCATCACAGACTCTGAGCACTCAGATGCTGAGGTCTCCTGTACAGACAATGGCACATTCAATCTTTCACGGGGCCAAACACCTCTAACAGAAGGCTCTGAAGGTGAGGGGAACCGTGGACGTGAGTTCGTAATGGCCCTGTTGCTGCTCAGCTTCCCTGGGCAGAGAGGGTACTGCCCCCTCCTCTCCTGTTTTCTGAGGTGTGGGTCAGGTGGTGGAGCAGCTTGGGGCGGGGGGTATGGCTTCAGCCGGGATTGCACTGCTGCTCTCCTTGAAATCCTCCCTTAGGAGCCTTGGGTTCTAGTCTCCTGTGGAGCACAGGGGAGGAACGGAAGGGATTTCTTTGGCCAGTAGAGATCATAGCAGTGAATAAGTGGAGGGGAAAGGCCAACCAGTGCTATAGGTTTTGCTTCACCCTGAGAAATTCAGAGTAGAAAAATCTGGTTACATGGAGCTGACTTTGTGAGGCTAGGGCACAGGAGTGCCAGGCTGTTGCCATGTCTCAGACACCCCTCTATTTTTCCAGACCTAGATGGTCACAGTGATCCAGAAGAATCCTTTGCCAGAGACCTTCCAGACTTCCCTTCCATTAATGTGGATCCTGCTGGCCTGGATGATGAGGACGATACCAGCATTGGGATGCCTAGTTTGATGTACCGTTCCCCACCAGGGGCTGAGGAGCTCCAGAACCCCCCTGCCAGCCAGGAGGAGGCTGTACTGCCAGAGCTCCTGCTCGGTTCCCTGCCTACAGGGTCCAACCTCACCAGCAACCTCGCCAGCCTGGTCTCCCAGGGCATGATCCACCTGGCCCTGTCAGGGGCCTCCCAGCCAGGCCCTTCTGGCCCGCCTCCCCGGAGAACAACAAGAGGCTTCCTCCGGGCCCCCAGTTCAGACCTGGACACTGATGCTGAGGGGGATGACTTTGAACTTCTGGACCAGTCGGAGCTGAATCAGCTGGACCCTGCCAGTTCCAGGAGCCACTGAGGCAGAGACTCCTTTTAGGGGTCACTGTGGTTTAGGTTTTTTTTCTCCCTATCCTACTTAAGGTGAAGGGGCAAGGGAAGAACCCAGGTCCCATCCACTGAATTACATAGGTTTGCTTGGTGGCCTGGCAGAAGCTCAGGCCTGCTGAGAGGATACTCACTCCCCTGCTACCAGCTGGATGCCCATTTCTGAGCTCAATCACTGTAGTGAGAGTGCTCCCCTGAGGGAGGCTTCTCTCCATCAGAATGGTACTTTGGGGAACACAGTAATCAGGGGTAGTGGTTCCCCTTTGAGGGGGTGCTGCTGTTTGCTTCTAGGTATGGGTGCTTGGGGGTGATAGAAGCACCCTTCCCTTCCTCCCTCCATCACGTCCTTGGAGCTCCAAGTCAGGCAGCAGCTGGAAGAGTTACATTGCCATCTTCCTCTTTTGCTAAGCCATGATTTGATTTGTCTCTTTCTAAGCACGTGTTTTGGTCCTGCAGAGCAGGCCTGCTCCCTCTGCCCCGGCCCATCCTCATTTCTGGAGGCCTAACCTCCAGTGCTCCAAAACAGTGCTTGTGACATTTAAGAAATGTGAACATGATGTGGGGGTGGGCCGCTCTGACGTTACCTTGGGCTGTGGGGTCAGCTGGCTGAGAGGGCAAGTGCCTCTATATCTCCTGGTCTCATGGAATCTTCTGAAGCTGCCTGGTTATTTTTGGTGCTGCTAACCCCTGGCTCCATTTGACCATCAGCCTGAGCAACGAGCAAAGCAATACCATACCATATCCATTTCCGTGTTCCTGTTCCTTCCCCTGCTCCTCCTTTGGAGAAGCAATAATTGCATGGGGGATGTCAAAGTAGCACTTTACAAATGGCTCATTGGCATTCACCCCAGGAGCCACCAGCTCTTCTTGCACCAGCTCTTCTTACTCCCTGTTCAGTTCCTTTAATACTTTTATTTTTAACTGCTTCCCAACTTGGCGGGGCCTCTTTTAAGGATGAGCCTAGTTAGCAAGAGTGTGTCTGTAGTCAGCAGAGACTTCTCTAAGGGGTATCTGTTCTACTGCCCCTAGAAAAATCATGTGAGACAAAAACTAAAAATGGTAATTCTAAACCTATGCCAGCCTACAGCCTCTCTTTGCCTCCCCAATCAGAGCTCAGGCCAAACTCTTCTGTCCTCTTGCCCTCTGCATTAACCCTTTGCTGATCCTCAGGGACCACTCCCCCAACACCCCCATACCTGGGCAAGGGATGTTGGACAGAGCCCATTTTCATGTGCTGCAGGTGGGAGTGTGCTAACATGTTTGCTCTTGGTTGATGGAAAAGGTAGAGGCCAGGAGTGAAAATTAAGAGAACGGAGAAGAGCTAGGTGCCTGTTCATAGTCACTTATGTGTGTGAAGGTTAGGGGTAAGTGGTATCTCCCCACTTTACGGTTCTCAGACTTTGGACACCTTCTGTCTTCTCAGAGCCCAGATGTCTCACAGGTGAGCTCTGATGTGGGAAAAAATGGGAAGTGTGGAAGAGGAGTGGGTTTTGGTGTGTTTGCATGAATGTGTTTAGCTTCAGGCCTTGGAAGTTGGGAAGAGGGAGGGAGGAAGGAAGGAGAGCAAAATCTTCAGAAGGTGTTTCTTGTTCCTGGGGGATCCTGCTCTGAATCTCCTTAGTCCTCCACTGTGAACTGGGGTGGGGATGGGCGGTGGGGGGCGGGTGGTGTTGGGGAATAAATCTTGTATGAGAACAATCTTTTAAGAGACTGATGTTGAATGGTGTTTTACCCATGATAGTCTTGTCTTCTCGTTAATCTGAGATGTGATTAATCTGAGGTGACAGCCTCAGAAGAGGAAGCCCGTGTGAGGGACCCACATGCCTGTCCCTATTTGTGACCTTTGTGATGGTCAGAACAGTCACCAAATATGAGGCCACTTCCCTCCCCAGGAGAGCCCAGAGAGCACAACCGGCACTCTTGGCTGGCATCTAGCCTGCAGTCCCATCATTTTTAATTTTTTATAATAAGTTGTTTTTAAGGTTTTTTATTTATTCATTTGAGACAGAGAGAGAGCATGAGCAGGGGGAGGGGCAGAGGGAGAAGCAGGCTCCCCGCTGAGTAGGAAGCCTAATGTGGGACTCGATCCCAGGACCCTGGGATCATGACCTGAGCCGAAGGCAGACGCTTAACCATCTGAGCCACCCAGGAGCCCCCCCCCCTTTTTTAAGATTTTGTTTGTCAGCACAGCAGGGGGAGCGGCAGACAGAGGGCGAAGCAGGCTCCCTGCTGAGCAAGGAGTCCGATGTGGCACTCGATGCCAGGACCCCTGGATCACGACCTGAGCCGAAGGCAGACACCCAACTGAGCCACCCAGGCATCCCCGTTTTTAATTCTTAATACTGTTCCCTGGCTGTGTGAAGACAAGTACCTGCATCAAAGGCTAATGAGACTTTAGGTAACAGGCTTTAAAAAGTAGCACCATGCTCCTCCTCTGGGTTGAGCTGCAGGGACAGCTGCTCTTTGGCCTTCAGCTGACCTCAGAAACTAGAAACACTTATTTCAGGCTTTGTCCCATTGGCCACTGTGGGCAGGAATGGAAAACACCTGCCAGGTGTTGCCATAAGATCGACTTGGCCAACAGGAAACTTTTCTACAAGCTTTGCGGCTTAACAGTAGCCCCTCCCAACCCTGCCTTGCCTTGGCGTCCAAACCACAGCACGTGTTGAGCGCCCCCTGTGTGCGAGGCTCAGTAACCCGCAAATAAGGGTAGCGCTACGCTTCCAGGGCTCTTAGGCATTTTCGTGTCTTCCCAACCACCCTCCTGCTAGTACCTCTTGTTCCTATTTTACAAATGAGACTTATCGACGAAAAGAACGTTGGGCCGTGGGAGAGGACACGTCCCTGTGGGTAACTGACCCTGTGACCTTGAGCAAGTCGCTAGCCCAGCGGGAGCTGATCCTAAGCTTTCTCCCCCCGGGAACACCGTCCCAGCTCACGGTCACGAGCTCAGCCGCCGCTGGAAGTGGGTTTCGAGACTTCGGCCCACGCCCCGAGCGGCAGGCGGGGCGGGTAGAAGCGTTCTGGAGCTAGCGCCGCGCCTCCGCCGCTGAGACCTCGGAGGGGGGCGCCCGGCTCCGGATTGGACCGAACTACGGCGCCCGGGAAGGGTTGCTTCGTGCCTCGCGAAGACGTCCCCTCCCGCCAATCAACGCTGGCGACCCGCCCTTCTCGTCGCCGGAAGCAGCCGTTGCCCCGAGCAACCGCAACGTCCGGCTTTCCGAGTTAGCGGCGGGAAAGGCCATGAGTAAAGGCCGGGCGGAGGCCGCGGCGGGAGGTAAACGGGGCGGTGGGCGCGGGGGAGACCGGGCGGGGGGCGGGCGAGGCGTCGGTTGAGCGACCCCCCCACCCCTGTCCCGTCTCCTCGTAGCCCCCGGGATCCTCCTGAGGTACCTGCAGGAGCAGAACCGGCCCTACAGCGCCCAGGACATGTTCGGGAACCTGCAGCGGGCACACGGACTGGGCAAGGCGGTGAGGACCCTCTCCTGGGATTCCTCCCCTTGGGTCCCCTCGAATCAGTCTGGGGTGCTGCCCTCTCGAAGCTGCCATTCTAGCCTCGGGCTTCCTAAGGCTTGTCGGGCGCTTCCCGATCTGGGGCTGAAATTCCCGCTGCCTGGGCCCCCGAAATCATTCCTCTGATTGCCCGCCCGTCCCCCCCGTGCCCCCCCCCCCCCAGGCGGTGGTGAAGGCGCTAGAGCAGCTGGCCCAGCAAGGCAAAATCAAAGAGAAGGTGTACGGCAAGCAGAAGATCTATTTTGCCGACCAGGTGAGGGAAACCTGTGCAGATTATCGCCCGTGTGAGACCCCGACATTAGGTGAACCAGTCTCTAGAATGAACTCTCTTCTGGAGAATTTGAGGCACCCCATGAAACTCAACCTGTCTTACGCCATGAAAAGGGCCCCAGGCACCCTTTAAATCAAGGTGGGTACTCCCCTTGCTGTGACCCAGATTAGTGGGACTTCCAGATTCAGGACATGATCGATGACAGAAGACCCTGAATTGCTGCTGCCAGGATCCATTCCCGCTTGGAAGTTTCTTTTCCCAGGCATCTAGATTAGAACCACCATCTGCCAAATGATTCGCCTTCTGTCCCCACCCCTCACTCCCGACATAGATAACACTAATTTTGTATCTCTGGGCCAGCCCACCACCTGGAGCCTTCCAGACCTCTCTGAGTCAATACTAATATCGCTAAAGTAGAATGCCTCATCTCCCTAAATGGGCTCCTCTTACCTGCTTCTACCTCTGGAATCGCGCCTCACCCAACCCAGAGACTGGGGAGTGAGTCACTCTTCCCTTTCCCCACTGCCCTGTTGGTTTCCCCCCTTCCTGACTCCGCCCTCTCCTTTCCATCAGGTGTTCCTCATCTCTCCTGATACCCTCCTAACATCTGCTCTGGCCTCCTCAGCCATCCTCAACACTGCAGCCAGAAGGGTCTAATCGGCAATAGTGCCATTGCCCGACTTAAACTCTAGCGCCCCCTAGAGCAGGGAAAAGGTCCTTGGAGCCTCGGCCCCAGGCTGCCGCCTGCCTCACTGTACCTTCTGGGTCCATTCACCAGGACTAGACCATTTAGATGAGCTTTACTCCTGTGTCCTTCCTCTGCCTGGAGCTTCAAAGACCCTTCTTCCTCTTCTGCCTCTTTGCTCAGCTAACGCTTACTCATCCTTTAGGATTCGCCTCAGGCATCACCTTCTCCAGAGACCTTCCCCGAATTCTCTAATCGCCTCTTCTTCAGGAGCTCACCTCTCTGAGGGATGCTGTATTGCGTTTATCTTTCTGCACGTCTTCACACTGGACTGCAGCTCTCCTAAGGCAGCCCCACTTCTCACTCGTATTCCTTTGCTCAGCACCCCCACCTCAGGAGCTAACATCCGGGAGACACTGAATACTAGTTTAACTGAACCAAACCACCATTAAGGCTAATTTTCCTAAAGTAGGTTTCATTATGTGATTACTCTAATGAAGATTCCCTAAGGGAGAATTTTGCAGATTTTGTTCTGTAAAGGGCCAGACCGGTAATATTTTTGTGCTTTGCAGGCCAGATGGTCTCTTGTCACAGCTACGCAGCTGTCACGACCACTCCTGTCTGCCACGTAGACAGAAGCGGCCCGAGACAGTATGTAAACGGGCAGGCGTGGCTGTGTTTCAATCCGTTTTTGTTTTCAAAACCCTGTATCTGGCAGGACGTGGCGTGCAGGCTGGCCCTCCGCCTCTTCCTAACCTGCTCCCCGTCACCACTGACAAGACCCCCGCAGAGCCCCAGCGCGGTCCTTGGCAGCAGCTGGTCTCAGGGGACGGGCTGCTCAGACTTGCCCCGGAGTCCCTTCAGCACTGCCCGCCATGCCTCTGTACCTGTCCCGGTTCTTCCTGTTGTGGGAACGTGCCACTTGGGTAGCCCTACCTGGGGAAGAATGTTCCTTTACTCCTTTAGCCCAGTGAGCGGTATTGCCACTAAACCGAGATCTCTGCCCTGTTCGCATCCTGCCAGCCTTGAAGCCCCTCGAGGACAGGCCTCGGGTTTTAACTTCTTGTTTAGACCTTGTTAGTTGGGACCAGCACTAAACTGAGTGGTTTCTCACAGGACCCTCCTGCTGTTCTCCCAGGCCCTCTGGAGGGTTGGGGAGCCCCACGTTCTTGCACGTGTCTGATGCTGCCCCCTGCTCCCAGATGTGGCTTCCCCTCCTGTGCCTCACATCAGCCCCCTTGTTTTTCCTCTCACCTCTGGCAGGACCAGTTTGCCATGGTGAGTGACGCCGACCTCCAAGGCCTGGATGCCAAAATTGTGGCCCTCACGGCTAAGGTGCAGAGCCTACAGCAGGGCTGCCGCCACATGGAGGCTGGTAGGACTGGGCAGCTCCCGAAGGGGCCCCTAGGGTCACGGTCAGTCTAGAGGTCAGGAATTACAGAGTGGATGGTTTTGTGTCAGTGAATCTCTGCTCGGCTGCCACAGGCATCATGTTAAAAGAGAGAACAGCTCATGGCTTTTTTTTTTTTTTTTTTTTTAGATTTTATTTATTTATTTGAGAGAGAGAATGAGATAGAGAGTACATGAGAGGGGGGAGGGTCAGAGGGAGCAGCAGACTCCCCGCTGAGCAGGGAGCCCGATGCGGGACTGGATCCTGGGACTCCAGGATCGTGACCTGAGCCGAAGGCAGTCGCTTAACCAACTGAGCCACCCAGGCGCCCCAGCTCATGGCTTTTAAATATAAGTGGGCAAGACATGCATTTGCTTTCCCTAACATTATCAGTGTCCTGGGCCCACACTCCCTCTGTGCCTGCTTTAACTGGCTACAGGGAAGTGTTCAACCTCACTTTACCACCACTGGTAGATGAAGGAGGAAAGAAAACTAGAATAAACTGGTAATTCTGTAAGCCTTCATCTCTGCTGAGCATTTCCAGAATATGGAACTCTTTCTGGACCCTGTGTGTAGAACCTAGAGCAAGGTGGGGGCCCAGTCTCCTGCCTCAGGCAGCACCCACTGGGAAAGACAAAGCCCCATCTTCAGGGGTAGGAAGGGACCTCAGAGAGCTATGGTTTCAGAGCTGAAGGAGTTAACTAGTGCCCTGACCACACCGGAGATGCAGAAAGAGATCCAGGAGTTGAAGAAGGAATGTGCTGGCTACAGAGAGAGACTGAAGAATATAAAAGCAGCCACCAACCACGTGACTCCGGAAGAGAAAGAGCGGGTGAGCTAGGAGGGAGGGGTGAGCTGGGAGGGCCGCGGGGAGCAGGGCGGAGCAAGGAGGCGGCTGGCCCCCACCTGCCGCCGAGCTGAGGGGCTAGAGGCAGCTGTTGTCCGTCCAGGTGTACAGCGAGAGGCAGAAGTACTGCAAGGAGTGGAGGAAGCGGAAGAGGATGGTGAGTGTGCGCGCTCCGGGCAGGCCCCGAGAAATGGCAGGAGAAACCGCTGCCCAGTAGTGCGGCTCTGCCAGGCGGTGCCCACCACCCACCTGAAAGGGGTGGTTTTGTTTCTTGTCAGGCAACAGAGCTGTCGGACGCAATTCTGGAAGGATACCCCAAGAGCAAGAAGCAGTTCTTTGTAAGTGGTTCTCTCTCCCGTCCTCACTCCCCTGGGCGCTCCGTCCAAGGAGGGCTCATTCACTTGTCTCCCTGCCCCAGGAGGAAGTCGGGATAGAGACAGATGAGGATTACAACGTGAAGCTCCCAGACCCTTGAGTGGTCCTCCTGCAGGACGGGGGATGGAAAGAGAGGTCCTGGGCTGGCTGCCTCCTTCAGGTCGGCTGCTTTTTTTGTTCCTGCTTTCTGCCTTTGGGCAGAGCGGCGGGGAGAGGGGCAGGGGCCAGAGTATGGGGCGCAGGGAGCAAGCGAGCCCACAGCGGATGGTCAGACTCCTTTCACTGGCTGCATTCCAGTTGTTTGAACTGAATGCTCAATCTTGGAACAGCGCTAAAGGAAAGCATTTGGCAATATTTATTGTAATACAATTTGATATATAAATACTTAATTTCCTCTGGATAACCAAATGTCCCAGATGTCAACCCTGAGGAAGGCTACAGGGTAGAGAGAGGCTACTGTACACAGCATTCAAGGAGCCCAAGGCCTTACCCAGGACTTCTCCGGGCTCTGTACCCCAGGAGGCCTTTAAATACCTTCTCTACCCCTTCACCCTGGCCCCAGGTCCTGGGAGAAATGCACATGGCACGGAGATGGCAGAGACCCAGATACACTTGACGGGAAGGCCGGGAGTGGTTTTGAGGCCCAGTTCATTTTCCAAAATTGTAACTTTAGCAAAATTGCACTGTTGGTGTTTAAAAAATTAAAAAAACAAAAACCTTTTAATACGTAGTGCTGTGTCACACTCCTCTGTGCTGTGCTCCTGCCTGTGGGGACAGAGAGGGCAGGAGCACGCAGGGAGCAGGAAAGGAGAGGCAGTGGAGTAGGGCAGGGTAGGCGAGGGCAGGATCCTGGCAGCCCGAGCCCAGGTACCAGGCGGCCTGTCACACTTCATGGCTGTGGGAATATCTCCTCGCATTCCTTTCTTCCTGTCCCGCTACTGCCAAAATGGCCAAACTTGGTCCAGATGTTGCCCAAATCTGGCCCAAGAGACCAAACCAAATGCAATAGTAGCTTCCAGGTATGTGTAGATAAGGAGCAAAAATCTGAGGCTTAGAAAGGGAGAGGCCGGGAACTCTTGGGGGTGCCCAGAGCAGACCCCCCGCCCGAGGACTTTTATGGGGAGGGGGAAAGACAGTAGGCTCGAGTTTTGTGGTCAACATAATAAATTAAAGCTTTCACAAAACAAACACCCCAGCCCCACTGAGGATGAGGGGTGCCAGGGAACCAAGCACTGGGAGCCAGCGGCCCCGTGTGCAGCGTCGCAGTCCGACCTCAGAAGCCCAGTGGCTCTGTGGCCAAGCAGAGTTGGCTCTTCTGCGGGTTCCGGGAGCCAGTCAGTACAGCTGGTTCTTCAGCTGGTGCAGGACGCCAATCACGATCTCCCGGAGGGTCTGGCGGGGGCAGCAGAGGGAGACACAGCTGACGCGGACGCAAGGACAGAGGCGAGGACGGAGCCGGCTCGGGGACGCGCCCAGGCCAGGCGTGCTCTCTAGAGCGCAACAGGAAAAGCCCGTGGGCCACACTGCCGGCTGCAGTTTACTCTGAAATGTCCGCGCAACAGGATGGGGAAAGGGGTGGCCCAGCTGGCTACGTGGAAAAGCAAAGGCAAGAAACGGGAATGGTAACATTTAGGTGGTGGGTTCGTGAGTGTCAGGGTTGCAGTATGCTTAAAGTGTTTCCAGAAAATGTCAGGAAACAAAAAAGACTCCAGATGCAAGTCAAGCCTCAGAAAAGGCAACCAGTCCTCAGAAGCAGAAGACTCCCAGCAACAGCATTCACACGCTGCCCCCGTTACAAAGATTGACAAACCCCTGGGGCAAACTACTTCAACAGGCCTGGGGGTGGCGGCCAGGACTCTTCCCAGACGTGCCGTGTGAGTCCTGCTGCCATGGTGAGGGTGAGGAGGGCTACGCACTGGGCAGCCACACGGGGGCGGGGGCTGAGAAGGGGCAGAGCGACGCTTGCGGGACTTTAGTGCCCCATCAGTCTCGCCAAATGAAACCGTAACAGGAAAATCTAGGCTAGGAAGCAAAAAAGGGAGACACCCCCCCAAGAAACCTAGAAGCTGCTGCCCTCGCTCTCTCAACAAATTGGGACTTGGGCCACTTTGCCTGGGGGAGGGGAGGAGACCCGCCCCCACCCCACGGCCACTGCTGCCCCGTACCTGAGGCTTACAGTGCTCCTCAATCCAGCTGAAGACACAGGCTGACAGCTCCTGGAAGCTGGCCACAGAGATGGAGGCATTGAAGGACTGGAACAGGGAGTCCATGATGCCTTGAAACACGTTGAACTTGACCTGGTCAGAGACCTGGTCTTCCCCCTCGTGGGGATTGTCCTGGTGGGCCTTCACAATCTGCTCGTAGTTCCTGAAAGCAAGCAGTAATGGCTCAGGCACTGAAGCAGCTCCGGTACCCGAGGTTCTCCCCCAGGAAGGGGCTCCCGGAGAGCTGCTGGGAGGTAGTCAACATCGGCTAGATACTGCTTCTGGGACCGAAGCGGTGACCCCTCCCCACCCTCCCCTTCATGAAGCCCACAGGCACTTCGAGTATCTGCTGTGCGTCAGGGACGGCTGGGGGACAGAGTCCGGCCTCTAAGTGGCCACCTAAGGGAGGCAGAGGATTATCTGTCCTGTAGTAGCTGACATGACCTTTGAACAAGAGGAAGGTATGAACTGAAGTTGGCTCAGAAGCCCTGGCTACCCCAGCTCAGCGCCCCCCTTACACTTTCATGATCTTTAGGGCCGTGACGTCCTTGCGTAGCATGGACACCTCCTCCTCCTGCTTTTTCTTCTCCTTGTGCAAAAACTGGATGTAGTCAATGGCTGCGGTGGGGGGTGGGCACAGAGGAAGTTTCAACCAGAAGGACGAGGCTGACTTTGTTTCCCCTTCCCCCCTCCCTCCCCTCCCCGCCCCAGTCCCCAACTCCCATAACCACCCCCCTCCCACCAGGGCCAGGCTGAGAGTGGGTAGAAGGCTCTGGCCTCTTCTACAGCCCCGCTGGCCCCAACCACTCCCAGGGCTCTCGCTGGCCATACTCTTCTGCAGAACGATGGCTTTGCTGAGCTTTTGGGAGCCAATGGAGAAGTCCTGCTGCTGGCAGGTGGGGACGATGGTCTGAAGGTCATCATAGCCTCTCTGTGGAGACAGGAGGGGAAACCAGGCTTCCTTAACTCTGACGGATTAAGGCAAACTGGCTCCAAGCTTTCTCTCCGAGAACCGAGTTCCATGCTCAAACCAAAGGGGTGGGGGTGCTGGAAGGAGGGAGGTGTTCATGTCCGGGGCCTAGATGAGCTGCCCGCAAGGATGCCTGGGCTATCTGATGAGGTCGGGGCAGAGTGCATCTGAAACATAAGGCCCTCCTGCGCTGGCTGAGCTGCAGGCCTCCCCAGTCACCTTGATGGCGTCCCTCCTCTTCTGCTCAGCCTGTGTATGTGCTCGCCGCCGCCGGTCCTTGTAGGACTCCTTGTAGGACTCCTGGTGGTAATCGCTGTCCTCGTCATCTACGCTCAAAGTTGGGGGCGGGAAGAGGTCATTTTGAGGCCCAGTGGGCCCCAGCTAACCCACCTTGCCCCAGCGGGGAAGAAAAAACTAGTACCCAGAGACAGCAAATGGCCAGAAGAGCCTAATGTCCTAGATGAGGGGAGAGATGGGGAGAGCCTGTGGCTTACACTAGGCCTCCAGCACCCGCATGTGGATGACTGGAGCTTCCTGTCTAGGAAATATACTAAAACGATGGTATTTCTGAGCCCCCCCCCCAGGTGAGGGCATGTTGCTGCCTACCTGTATTGGGGACGGAAGAGGCACTGGTGGAACCGATGCTATTAGCTCTGGACACTACACTCCCCTTTCGGGTACTTTCTACAAAAAGCCCTGGAAAAGAGAGGTCCCAATCACTAAGGGGTAGGGCCGGGGAACACTATTAGACCCAGAGGCACCTGTGGGTACAATGGCTTCCTGACCCTTAAATGCTGACCTCTCCCTTTCAACCCAAAAGCCACCCATACTGGGTCATCCGCTTCCTGCTGTGCCATGCTGCAGTGCTCCTGTCCCTGGTGTCCACACTGCTCCGTGGGCCTGCACTGGCACCACTGGTTCACAAGACGGGCACCGTGACGGGGAGGGAGTGGCTAGCTCACTACTGTCATCGCCTCCCTGCTTTATGCTGCCTGCCCCCGTCCTGCAGCTCCTCCCTCTGTCCCGGGACAGTGGGCTGTGCTCAGAGGTGTGGCTGGCGAGACCACGGGAATCTACAGGGCTGCAGCGGGAGTGTGACCAGGGAGCCGGAGACGGTGGGGGAGGCACTCACCGGGGTCCAGGCTGTTGTCGCTGTAGGCATATTCCACCTGCAAAAGAGCAAAGGAGAAGCTCATTAGACCTCCGCCCGGGGACCGCACCTCCTTTCACGCGCGTCGCGCGCGCGCACACCCCCCACACACACACCCTCCCCCCAGGGTGCGCAGGCAATTGCGGGATGCACGCGCGCGGGCGTACACACGTGTACACACACACAGAGCGCACACATCCCCCTGGGGTGCGCAGGCGACTGCAGGGCTGCCCCGGGAGCCAAGAGCGGAGAGGCCATGGGAGCGCCGCCCCTCCGCAGCACCCCGTCTGCCCCCACCCCCGCTCCAGCGCCTCCCCAGCCCCCAAACCCTGCCCCCTCACACTCGTGCACACACGCGTCACTTGTCTCCCCACCTTGGCACGCGCGGGGGGAGAGCTGTCTTCTCTGCAGCCCTGGGGCCCGGAGGGCGGGGGGACCTTTGGGGACTGCAAGGAATCCCCTCGTCTTCCGGCCCCCCCACGTGCACGAGCCCGACCCGCCCTCCCCTCGCCGGCGTGCGCGCCCGCGGGGCTTGCCTTGACCCAGGGGTCGTCCGGAGAGGCGCCCGGCTCCGTCATCTCCGACCCACCGAACCGGAAACCAGCCCGCGGGCGGGCCCCCTGCCGCGAGGAAGAGGCGAGGCGCATCCACGTGACCCAAACCCACCAACCCACGCGCCGGAGGCGGAGGGCGGGGCGAGGGGCGCGCATGCGCAGCCCGGAAACACCGAACCCGTGGGCAGGGGACCCTGGCGTCGGAGCGGACGCGGTTGTCTTCTCTGCCCTCCCTCGGGGTGGGCGTCCCTGCTGCCGCGACGTGAAGTACATTCTGTAAAATGGGGTCCCCTCAAAGGGCTCGTCCGAACGGTTTGCCGATAGTTGTGTGCACGCGCTGTGCGGGCCCAGACGGCTCCCGGGGACGCGTGTCCCACCCCCACCCTTGCAGGCAGCCCGCCCGGTGGCTGCGCAGGCCTGGCCACCTGGGCCGACCCCGCCGGCCTGCCCGCTCCGTGAGGGCAGAGGCCCCGCCTGGCTTCTGGAAGGCCGGTCCTCCAACACGCAGCCAGGCGTCTGGCAGGAGACCAGTGGAAGAAACGCTTTCAGAGAGCCTGCTGGCTAACTTACGCTACTTTACAGATGAGGAAACTGAGGAACCTAGAAAGTCTGTAGCTTCTCGCAAAGCAGACAGCTACCCGTGACAGGACCAAGGCTGACCTCAGTCTGGCTGGCTTCAAAAGCCAAGCTGTTAACCACTGCACTCCTGGCTTCCAGCTCAAGGCTTCCAAAGATAGCCAGAGGCATCCGGGCAGGAAGCAGACACCGTACAGGCAGCACCCGGCAACAGTCATCTTTAATTCTGTTACAAGTTGCAGTGTCTGCCCTGGCCACAGTC